CAGGCTTCTTCTTCCCCTGCCAGCTCTGCTAGAGCTGGCCCCTGCCGGTCCTTTTAACTTGGCGCTAGTTCTTGTACCAGGTGCACGACCACGAAGCATTGAACGCGTAGGCCAGCGTGCAGCACGCCCCGCGTGGCAGCACGCAGCGTTCCCAGGTGAGCAGCTGCCTTAGGCCAGCTCAGACTTGTGTGAAAGGCTCCGGTTGCAGGGAAGCGGCTGCTGCTCTTTAGCCAAGATGGGTAAAGCGCACCTATGATGTAGGTGCAGGGGCCCGTAAGATCGCCACTGTCCTGGCAGAGGACACATGGGGCAACTGTAATCCCTTCCCCCCCCAAACTTAACAGTCACGCTCGGTTTCTCCAGAGAGTGCTGGGGGGGGGGACAAAGGACACTAGTGAGGACACAGAAAGGGCTGTGCTACAAGTTATAGGGCTCACGCTCTTAAAAACGGCTCTCGTGAAGCTGGTGCTACCTGGGTGAGGCTCACCCTCAGCTGGTAGAATAGGAGCTTGAAGTCAGCTCCTCCATATCCATGTGCACCTTAGCTGCGTCAAGCCCCAGAGTGACACTATGCATGAGTAACATAGCTAAAGTAAGTTAGACAGAAATGGGAACAAACTGAAACTTGGGATGGTTGTCTTATTTAAAGAATAACACTTTAAAAAAGAAAATTCTGCCATCTCTGTGAGGCACTGTTTAGAAGAAAAATCCTCTTAAATTCTGCCATTCTTTGCTTTTTTCCTTTTTCCCCACAGTCCGTAGGAGTACAGTACACAGGTAAATGTGAATGTACAAATATTGTCACTACAGCAGGACATCTTTGGAGACAAAACTCACTGCATGGGGGGCAAAACATCTCTTGCGTGAGGAATGTTGATCATCAGGTCACTCCTGTGTTAAAGGAGAGAAAACGCTCACCCGCTCTCGCACATGAAGGAGCTGCTTTGGTAAATGATTGTGGCCAGTTTTTGGACGTAACATGCTAAACAGATGCTTCCCAACTTGGGGGCAGGGGAGAAAAGCTCTAGCAAACTCACCTGAACACAGTGACCTTGTTAGTGGAGCGCTGCTGGCTTCCCCCAACCAGCAGCAGCCTAACAGTGACCTGTACTTGGGTATGTGTACGCAGGCCTGCTGCCAGCCCCTGCCCAGGGCTGCGTTTGCACTGAGCAGGGGTAAAGCATCAGGACCTGAACCACCTGCAGCACCTAGGCTGAGGCTACACTGTGACTTGTCTCAGGTGTCACCATTTGATAAACTGAGCTAGAAATAAGGAGGTAAATGCCCAAAGTCTGGCATAACTGAAGCTAAGCACATGCACCAAAACAAACAAACCAACCAACCCACCCACCCAAAAAACAAAACAGTTTAAGGGAAAGAAAAACTAAGTGAGGAACTTCATACTTAAGCTGATTGGGGGGGGGGGGGAAATTTTTTTTTTGCCACAGCAAGTTTTCAGGAAAGCAAGAGCCCGTTTAAAGCAGAAACTGGTAACTAACTTCCTTGTTGGCTGAGGGCACTGCTGGCAGCATGGTGGTGCTGCTCCTAAACCATGCTGTGCATGTACCTGTATCGCTGAAGTCCATTCTGACACAAACCCCGAGACATCATAGAAGAGTTTAGGATGTAAGAGCCAGATGGAGGTCAGCTCCTCCAACCCTTACTGAAGCTCAGGATCCCAGCCAGCCATTAGTCTTGATTTCCATGACATCAATTAGTTCATTATAAAGATGAGGTAGGGAAGTAGTGACTGATGATGTAACAGGGTATCTAAAAGTTTATTTTAAAATAATCTTGCTTAAGAGAAATCTGAGCAGCAGCTAAAACTGATCCTCTGCTGCAGTCTGTATGATTGGAGCCCGTTCGCAGGCCACTGCTCAGCAGTGAGGCAGGTACATGCTGCAGCCTGCACTGCTGCAGGATGCAACAGCAGCAGCGGAGCAGCAACGTGTCTGCCCCCAGGCATGGCCAGGGACAGCTTTTGCCACTGGGACGGTCGAGGCATTAATGAGCTCACTGCCTCTTCAGCTCTTGCCTTGCTTTCAGCTTTATTCTTCTAAATGCAGCTCTAAAGCACCACTTCTGTACCATGTTTCGTAAAAAAGCAGCAAGTGTTGAAGGTACTTTTGCAGCAGCAAAAAGATGTAGGAGTTAAGTATTGCACCACACCAAAAGAAGGTGGAAGACAAACATCCAGTTCATCTAGCTTTCTTGCTTCCTTATCCTGGTGAGCATCAAGTAAGGTGATGCTCCAAAGTCTCGTCGTGTGCTGCAAAAGAAAGCACAAGAAGGCCAAGATCATTCAAAAATCTTCTCAGGCCAAAGTCAAGCTTAAACCCACCAAAACACGGTCAATCGACTGCCCAACATCGTTTCTTGCAATCCAGGAAACGCTGCACAATTACGGAGTTCTCAGTTGCGTGACTCATTCAGAGAGAGCCAGATTTACCCCCCTTTATTTAAACCCTGTTTTTCCTAGCAACCCAGGAAGACTCTACCCCTACATACTGCACTAATTCAGTGGTTTATAACTATTGCCTTGCATATGGAGGAGCTGGCTTCAAGCTCCTATTCTGCCAACTGAGGGCAGAAACCTGAATCCAGATCTACTATAATCAAGGAACATATACTCCAGAACAGCCTACCAAGTTACTTGGTTTCATAGGGTGAGTATAGCCTCTCCTGACTTGGTGTGGGTGCGTGCACACCTCCCAGTTATTACAATCTGCCTTGTTTCACTTAATTTTAAACTGATGTACAAGCTGCTATAGATGCTTTTGGTTGCTCTGTTGAGCGTGAATCCCATGCTGCATTCCAGATCAAATGGGGCAGGCATAAAGCTCCATCAGTTCATCAGTTACACTGTTAGCTAACGAGTTTGAAGTAGAGCTTGTGTTTTCTCTTTCCTTTATAAAGGAAATAATCAAATTTCATCCTTCAGGGGTTACTTCCAGCAAGGCCAGAATCAATTCTCTCAGAACTCTGCAGTAAAGTTTGGTGAGGCCTGCAGATAGCACACACTCAGCTGACCGCGTGTGTGTTCAGAGACACTTACTCTGTCATGACACCTTTTGAAATTTTAGTCTTGGATTGGCCAGACCAGAATTCCACTTTTTCTTTAAGTTCTTTATTCTGCAATGAAAAAAAATATAAATATAAATATATCCCTTACTGCAGCAGACAAAACAACACTGGATGACAAGGGCCTGCAGCTCATTCCAAAAGGCTTTTATATATATATTTTAAGATGAGTGGAAGATACAGTGCAAAAAAAACCAAACACACAGGTGTTGTCATACTGACAACCTTAGCAACTGAAGGGACTTTAAGCTCCTAAGCACGGGGCAATGAAGGTCAGAAACGCTGAAAGATCTGGTCAAAGGTTTCTTATACTTTCTCCTCCCTCTCCACCATTAACCACATCTCCTGACCAAAGACAGCAGGTTGCTGTTGCTCTGCTTTGGAACAGGGGCAGTCAGGAGCGCAGCCTGACCGAGACAGGCCCTACAAGGGACACTGACACCACTCACCTTAAATTTCAACCATCACAAAGCTTTGACAGCTTTGACAGGGGCAGCTGAGGTCAGGACAGTTCTGGGCATCCCCAGAGGATAAGGTAACTGGGAAGTGTAAAAATAAGCAGCAGAAACTGCTGAGGATTTCAAACACTTCCAAGGTTAAGCAGCTCCTGAACATCATTTTTAAATCAGTAGTTTGGAAGCAGACAGGCTTTGGGCACCTAACACAGATTCATATCCGAGTCTGGCCAAAGGCACTAAACTAAACTACGTAAGGAAAAGCAGGGTAGTGATACGACTGAACAGCCATCAAGTGCTGTTTGTTATCTGGCCCTTAGCCTCACAGGAGAAATAAGCATAGGTGAGTATCTTACACAGACACAGCATTAGGTTTAGCAACCCTAGAAGCCCTTGGGCAGGAACCTTAGCGCTAACTTGTATTTTGACAAGTCTTGCAAAACACAGCAACGTAGCTCTTGCCACCTCATGTAAATACATGCATCTAAGAATGACAGTTTATGTTGGTATCAACAAGAACTATAATACAAATACAGATTTTCTAGAATTCTGAAGCTTGATTTCATTCAGTCTTAGCAGATGAGTAAAAAGAATAGTCTGAAAACAGTACAGAACATAATGAAGTTGTGATTCAAACTAGTTAAAATGATGCCAACACCAAAAGAAAAAGGGAGTTTAAAAAAAAAATTGTCAGCTTATACACAAAGCTAGTTTCCATGCAAGGCTGAAGTTAGGCAATTACAATTGTTGCTAGTAATAATTAAATAAGAAACAATAGGAGGGAAGCAGGCAAACAAAGACTTGATTCCCCAGAGGCAGAAAGCTGGCCAGGAAGTGATCAGAAAACTGAAAGACATGCACCATAAATTTCACACATGCCTGCTTAATTGGACTGCTCTGCATAGTTAGCTTTGAGCATGTAAGTACCTGAAGGGTCAGTCACAGGTTGCTGTGTTAATACCTCGCTGCTAAAATTCTCATGCCAATTACAGGTTTAAAATCCTGGTTCCTGCAGCCTTTTCACCTCCCATACCCATATCATTGCTTCCTACTTTTTGCTTCTAACCTGATGCTTGTCGCCAAGGCAGAGAATTGGTTGTTAAAATACAAACTAGTATATTTTGATGATGTTCCTTAATTCACAAGTGCTGTGGATTTCGTTAAATAACTGCAGACACCAAGGGTGAGATTTTCATGACACTGAGGACCAGGTGCAGTATGAGATGCAGGTGCTAGACGGCAGCTGCCAAATACCTTCCTTTCAGATGCTGGATCTGCTGCTGTGCCATGCAGCCAGCCTGGCTAGCTGCCCAGCCCCTCCACAGCCAGCTATGAGAGTTGGGGCAGGGGGTGACACCTGAATCCCTAGTCACAGATACTCGAAGACACCTCCATCCTTTCAGGATCCACAGCTAAGCACTCAAGTACCTTTTCAAAAAGGCACACACAAAAAATAAAATAAAAAGGGTGGAAGAGAGGTGGGAACCACTGATTGCAAGATAGCCTTGTTCTGCCTTCAGGAAGGAGACTCAGGTTCAGCAAATCCTCTTTACTAAAAGATTTGAACTCATATGTCTCCCTGATGTAAGGCTGACTGCCAGGCCACAGGTTATTGTGCACGATGCTATTTCTACTGCTCCTGATCAGACTGTGCCACTGTTCCGAAAACAAGGGGAAAGATGGCCAGGACTGACCTCTCTTGCCTCGTGATCACAACAATAACCTGGAAAAAAGGTTACATCACTGCATTTTGATCTCCACTTGAAGAAGCATCTGCAGTGGAAATATAGCCCAAGTCTATACTGGATCTTTTCCACTGAAGTCAATGGTGAGTTTATCCTTTTATAAGGAGACTATTAACTACTTAAAGAAAAAAAAAATCCCTTTTCTTTTGCCTAAGTTCAGCAACTTTAGAGTTAGTTCCCCTTATTTGACCCTAGGGAATAATGCAAGGAAAAACAGTGTTATGCCTTAACTGAAGGTCCTAATACGAGCATTACTGAAGAAGTTAGAAACACGATGATTTTAGAGAATGACTTTTGATCTCAAAATTGTACAAGTTCAGTTTAGAATATCTTGTTTCTTTCTCACTTTACCTGAATTTCGAGTGCATTTAGCTTTTCTGTCAGATTTCCTATTTTTTTATCTTGGTTTCTGAGTTCCTTGTTCAGTTCCTCCACCTAGGAGTTGAAATGTCAAGTGTATAATGGATTAAAAGCCTTAGAACATTAAAAACATTTCTGTGACAAATAAAACCACAGTGCTAAGTGTCTCATCACAACAAAAAAAAGGCAGGCATTTCAAGTCTCTAAAGCATAGAGAGACTCCTATAGTCTTTTATCATAGGAAGTTTCAAACAGAATATTTGATTGACCAATTTATAAAACAGTCTCAACACAGTATTGCATTTTCCTTAGGACAACAAGTCTACCTTTTGTTGACATATTCACAGAAACATATGATTATGAAGACTAATTAGTGTGGGGACTTGTCTCAGCTAGTTGGGAGAAGACAAACACGTGTTATGAGTCGCATAGCGCACAGCGTAGGTTAATGCTGTCAGTAAAAGCAGTTCCCATTGTACAGTTAATTTGTGAAGCAGTTTAATTGCTTAAAGTTTTTTGTAGTCTTCCCAGTATCTAAGCCTATTTGCAGCGTGCATGAAAATAGCTTTACTCACGTAACATGAAAATAGCTGTAATGCAGGTTCATCTAGCCTAATATCTGGCTCTGTCAGTGACCAGATGCTTCAGGGAATACTATAATGAGCAGGGAGTTCAATGGGACTACTGAAGTAAGGGGGATCTGGGCTCCCAGAGCCACACTATTACACGTAGATTTTACTGACTGCCTCACCAAGTTAGTAATTGGCTATTGCAGCTATCAGAGACAGCGCTCTCTGCGCAGAATATAGCGGGGCCTCCTCATACACCCTCGTGCTTCTCCTCATGCTCGCTGAGGCTCCTGTGACAGCCAACAACGCATCCTACCAGGGGGAGCGGTGACCACAGGGCAGATGACTATTCTCATTCTTTCAAAGCCTAGGAGTATCCCACTACACCTAAAACTGGCAGAATTTCCATTTTCCTAACAAACAGGAATTCCGCTTGGCTCCCCAGCCCTTTCAGCTGGCTTCTAGAAAGTTTCAAACAGTTCTGTCTGAAATTGCAGACACAACCACCGTGATCTCATTTTTAGAGTGATGCCATTTCCATTTTCAATGTAGTGTCAAGACGAATATCAACGCGGGGTGTGCAAAACCAGGCAACGTGATGAGCAAGCTGCTCTTCACCAATCAGAAAGACTTGAGACAAAAGCACAGAACCAAGTCTCTGCTGCTTGTTTTCCCAAACACAGAAAAGCTGTCCTATATAACAACCTCTGCCTGACCTCCTGTATCACACTGCGCAGGTTCTGATGCTGTGCCTGGATCACATGCTGCAAATGGCAAATCTGTTCTTGCAGAGTGGAAATCTCCATCTGAAGAGCCACACACCTAGTGTTGAAAAAGCAAAGCACATTTAAGGTTCTTCCCCAAGAGCTGACTGAATGGCCCAGTGTGCTTCCCTACATCTGTACTCAAGAGCTTGTTGCTAGCAAAGATGTTCCGAATGCTACTGAAGATACCTGGCTGCAATTCACATACAGATACGCATAAAAAGACTTCTTTATTGAGCAGAACAAACAAACTGTAGTCTGAGACAGACTTTACCTGGTACAACCACCCTCTACCCTTACTAGCTGTTGATAAGAAAATTCATAAATAACTTCATAAACTGAATTCACAAATGAGAGAATCCATAAACAGCAAAGCATTGTCTGATATAAGAGAAAGAAGATACGTAGTTGTTATGCATGAGATAAGAAGAAAAAGATAAAGAACAGCATTGTTTTATCTCCACTGAGAGCAAACAAACATGCTCTTGAGTAATACACCTCAGCCATAAAGGGAGTCCTGTCTTTCAAGACAAGAGCTACTTAAAGTCACTCCGAAACACTATGGAATAGCAGTCCCTAAGAACCATATCCCTGTTGAAAAGGGACAACATATTCTGCAGCAGACACCTCTCAAACTGAGGACACAACGAACAAAAATGAGTGTTAGGCTAAGTATTTGTTAAATGAGCACAGCATGTCTGCTTTAAATAAAATCGCACTTTCCCCAGAAGAACGCAGCTTCAAGTGAGACAGTGTCGACATATGTTGCTTTGTGCATAAAAGATGACAGAATCAATGGTGCAATTTCACTGTTTAGAAGGATTCCAACAAGAAAAAGAAAGGCAGCCATTCAAGAAGTCTTTCAGCTTCTCGTCTTCTGTCAGTCAGTGAAGGCAGAGATATAGAGTATACAAATAAGAAAGTATGAAAATCCTTCCAGGTTGTCAATGCAAGGGAAAAATGCTGCATGATTCACAAACCGCTGCACAGCCCTTCCACTCATCATCAGTTCATTTTTTATTACAGACATGAGGTTCTATTATTAGGACACACATCCCAGCAGAAAGCAGCTTTCTGTTATGCAAGATAAATGATGCTCCTTGTCTAACCTAAAAGCTCTTCAGGACAGGATCAACTTTACAAACGAGCATAGTGGCTCAATGAGATGAGATGAAGCAGCCTCAAAGGGTCCATGACGGTAACAGAATGCAGATCTGCTGGTTCCTGACTACTTCCTTACTCAGTGAAAGGACGATGACAAAAAGCAGCACAACTTCAAGGAAGAATCAGAGAAGGGAAGCAGCCAGTACATGCAAGACAGAAAAGGTACTAGGTCGTAGAAGTTGAGAAGCATCAATATCTCAAATATATAATACAAGAGATCTGTTTGTTTGATTTTTTGTTTTTTAAAATCACCGTAATTCAGGTTTTGAACCAATTGCTTTCAATATGAATAATTTTACTACCAAAAGGAACTTGAGCAAGTTATTGCCTGGTACCCTATATAAAATAATCCCCCTTAAAAAGGAAAAGCTATCATATGCATTTAATCACCGCTTGCTGTCTTCTTTCTTTGACATCTGTAGAAGCTTCTGTTCAAGTGACAGTTTCCTTTCCATCAGAGTTTTCTTTTCCTAAGGGAACAATTGAAGTTACATAAAAACTATATTACGCTTCCTATCATTTGTTTAGCAAGAATAATTTGGCTAAAAATTTGATGGTTTTAGTCACTGTCAATAGACAGAATTCAGCAATAATCATCTACAAACGGACCTACATCAACATCAGCTTTAGATACAAAACAGTTTGACCGCTCTCAATTGATTTTGAAAGGGGCAACAATGTACTGATTTGTCATGAGAAAACTGTTTAAAAAAGAGGTCTCTCCTATTATTTAATTAGCATAAAACTTAGAATGTGAATAAACTGTGAATGATTATGCTCAGCTGCCAGTAGATACTGTATTACTACTGTTATGTCCAATGCTATTTACGGGATGTGGCGTTACTAGAAGAACACAAATTCTTCAAAAGTACCTTTTTATAACATTTGACTTCCAGAAACCCATCAGTGCAGTGACTCATCCTATCAGCTTTATTCTGGCTGAGCAGTGCCTTGGTCTGCATTCAATCCCATTGAAATCAAGAGGTCTCACACACACACACAGAAGAAAAATTCTGTGCAGCTTGAACAGGGTGGCAAAAATGTGTCTTCCAGCATTTTAGGAAGTTGAGGCATATTCACTACCCCCAAAATGCGAATTACACGTTCTAAAAGTCTGGGCAAATTTGTGTCTTTTGATTGATTGCATTTGAGGATATATTTTTATTTTGACAGCCCATCAAAATTCCTGGACACAGACAGGTGTTACAAGGAAAGTACATTTTTGCTGTTAGAAGAAAGAGAAGACACTTCCAAGTCTGAAATCATGGCTTTTTCCAACTGTATAAACTGATCAATGACACCACAAACTATTCACTTCCTTCCTTTTCTTAGGCCCTCCCTTCACAGCTACAATATTATTCCTTCTAAATTGTAAGCAGATTACTTGAGGATTAGATATAACAGTCAAAAAGCTATCCTATAATCCACATTTTCAGGCTACAAAAGTGTAACCCCATCCCAAGAAAAAAGAATTCTGACATTCAAGGCACCATATACATCCTTAGATATCCGAGTTAAGAATCAGATAAGATTTTATTCTTTGACACATTACCTATGAAGCCAGTATCTACCTTTGGTGCACTTACTGCACAAAACCATTTTGTTCTTCACATGCTGCATTCCTCATCAATCAGGTCCACTACCCAAGTTATTACGCTGTTGCCAGAGATAGCATAAACCCAGATGCTATACCATATCTGCTGCTATTAGCTTAGGCAAAGATAGAAGAAATCACCGAAATCTTTTCCATATAGGGAAAAATCTGAAGGAAACTGGTGATGCAACTCTTAGCATTAGAAAGATCACTTGCACATGATGGGTGGCAGAAATACACTAGAAGGGAAAAAAGCAAGGGCTTGGCTGAGCAGTGAGGAAAGGACTGAAAAGAAAGATGAAAACGTGTGCATCACTGAAATTATATCTCCCAGTGCCAGCTGCAAGGTGCCAACTGTACAAAGGCAGGCATCAGGAAAGCAGGCAGAAGGTACAGGAGCGTGAGCCGAGCGCATTTCCCTGCGGGCAGAAACTCTGGCGCTTGCCACGAGAACGAAACCAGCAGGCAGAAACAGCAGGGCTCAGGGGGAACCAACCCTGCCACATCTCTGCTAAGCGCTGGAGGACCCGCAGCGAGGACTGGGACACGCACGTCGTCTCCTCGCTCACAGTACTGCGGGAGTCGCAGCAGAGTCAGCAGCCCCTCACCTAGTCAGTTCAAGGTGAGCCATTCGCCTTTGCTTGGGGAAGGAGAAGGGGAGCTGGCATTGCTCAAAACGAGTGGAAACAAACTCTCCTCGGACCCCCACGCGGGGAGAAGATGATCTGCAAGAAAAGCTGGGGCTGGTCTTTTACTCATAGTCCATTAGTGAGTCATTTACACAGGAGGCAAAAAAAAAAATCCCAGAGTGAAATTTTCTCTCTACCTAGGGGGGCTCCAGTTCAAAGTCCCTTTTCTCAGAGTGCTCCAAGCCCACCTGCAGGGCATTTCTGGAACGGCTGGGATCAGGGCTGTAATATTTTAAATTTTTACTGGAAGACAAAAGCAAAATATATGCATCCCTGCTTGTCTTCTCCTCGTATTGGTGACTTAGTTACAGCATACTGCAAACTGGAAGTTCAAGTAACATACGTTTGGGAAGAAGCATCCTACTTCACATTTAACAGCTTTAATCTAAGTTACTTGCAGGTATTGTATTCACTGACTCTGTATTTAAATTTTACCTGTCCTAGGATGACTGTAGTTTTAAAACAGTATTTGCAGTACAGTAATTCCCACTGCTACTCAGTGCATACATCAGGAAAATTATGCATAATACCATCCGTGCTTCCAAATCAACAAAAGACAAAGTAAATTCACCTGTAAAGGAGAGGAATTTTTTTGCAACACGGTAGAAGTTCTTGTAGTTTCAATTCTAACACCTAACATACCCCAAATACTGAGAGTAATTAACTCTTCTTTTCAACAGAATAAGCACCGTCTTCCACCCTGTTGCTCTGTCCTGGCACAGGAGCTAACCAAACAATAATAAGAGAAGACATGTAATTCCAGAGAGCCTGTCTTTTACTCAGGCGAACAATTCCAGTTCAGTAGAGCAGAAGTATGCAAACGCTGACAGTCCTAGGGCTAACAATCTACAGCAAAAGGGGAGGTCTCTTGGCAAAAGTTGACTCCTGCTCACAAGGACTCCTGAACACAAAGGACGGCATAAACATACCTCTTCCATCCTTTGCACTCTTTTCTCCATTTCTGTAATCTGAGTGCATTTTTCTGTGATTCCTTCAGCTAGGTGATTGGCTTTTTCTGTATTCTGCTGGAGCTTTCGTTCTTGTTCGAGATTGTGGGCCTATGATTAGGAAGGGTATTAAAAACATACATGCATATGTGTTAGGACCTGGGAAGGCAGTAGACCGATGGAGGCAAGGCTCACTGACCCAAAGTTCAGCCAGCAGCTATTTATTCCCAAAGGAGGCACATACCCACAACACACACATATATATATATATACACATATATATATATACACACACACACACAGCTAGCCACATAGAGCAACACAGACAGAAAACACAACACTCAAAAGCACAAACAGCACCAATGACCTCCTCATCCTGTTCCCCTCTCTGGCTGATCACAATGAAAGCCTCTTAGTGAAAGATCTATACATACATACAGACCATACATACATGATAGAGATCCCTCCAGCAGCTAGTCTTAGACACTCAGCCTATCCAGTAACTGGTCCCCAGGTCTCCACAGTCACTGGCAGCTAGACATATGAGTCCCCGAGGCCTGTAGCCCCACTCCAGCTGCTAGTGCTCAGACCTACACACATAAAACACTGAGGATTCCCCCAGTAACCGGCCTATTGAATAGTATTGCCGTCCCCACACGGAGGGGAGATTAGTACCTGTATTTGCTTCTTATCATTCTCATGCCTTTTTTTAAGTTCTTCTGACCGAGTATGGTAATTTTCATAAAGTGTCTGGGAGGCAGATCTGAGAGCCTGCACACCTGCTTCTCTTGTAGCTTCCAGCTAGAAAGAGTAATCGTACAAAAAATATATATTGTGCTTTAAAAAAAAAAGTGATGTTATAATTGGATGCCAACAAATAATCCCTCTACACAAGATCAAATTTCAGTACTTACCCTTGCTAAAAACAACAACAACAAAGCCCTAAATACCTGTGAACAACGCTATGAATGTGAACAGGCATCTGACAGGCATTTTAGTTTCCAAATAAAGGCAGATTTATAGGGTATGGAACCATCCCTTATGACAAAAGCTTATGATTTAGAAGAAGAGATGTACTTCCAACTACTCGTAAATACATCTGCTGTCAACTATCAACAGAGCTGGCTATGTCATCTCACTATCCAAAAATCAAATACGTCCCTAGGAGCAGGTTTAAATACGAATTTCGCCATCTATGAGAATGAAATAGTTTGTACTAGCTGGTCTGCTCCTTCTCTAGAAGGAAAGAGCCTGGCAAAGGAGTACCAAATAGGTGCTTTTCTGCAGCAACTAAAATATAATTCTAGTGCAGAGAGAACTAAACGCCCTTTGGGTTGCAAGGCAGATATGTTCGCTTGAAGCCTTTAAAAAAAGAAAAAAAATTGGAACACACCTTGATCTTTAGTACTTGATTTTCCTTGTTCACCAGCAAGAGTTGGTGTTCCGTTTCTTCCATCTTCACCACAATAGGACTGTAGTTGGAGCTAGACATACTGTTCTTTGATTCCAGTTTGTTGCCCGAGATTTGAGGAAGCTGCTAAAGGAAACACACATCGAAATTATTTTAAAGATACCGAAAAATAGCTTTAACAACCAGCATTCATGACCGTGACCCTAAAAAAATCTCGTTTCTTATTAACAGTCCTCTTCCTCCTGTAGGGACCACTGGACAGACAACTCCACAGCTAGCTCTTCACAAAGTAAAGGCTATTTATAGAGTAGCAGTCACAATATTTTCTCCACCCTCAATAAATTAAGAGCAACTACAATGCTCTGTTTGTTCAGCTCTCCAGGGTTTTACGTTTGAAAGCATTAATGTATCAATCCTGATAAATAACTACATTCCATTCTCTACAGTGTTATTTCACAAGACTAATTAGCTTTTAGAATAGTGCACCACATGTTGTATTACAGGTGAGGCTGCAGATACGCACATTATCGTTATCCAATACTTCCCATTAAAAGAACCTTTCAGTTATTTATTACTCCAGCATATTTAACTGTTTTGGCAAAACATTCCCAAACCCGTTTTCTGCCGAAGGACTGCCTCTTTGAAAGAACAGTTTGATGTTTAAACCCTTTATCAGAGGCACTTTTTTTGCCAAACAAAGGTTATACAAAGTACAAGTAGCTTAAAAAAAAAAAAAATCTCCCAGCTTTAGTGACCAGACCTTCCAGGATCTCATGCCCCTAGGGAAGAGCTCTAGTACTTCACAAACTGGGCACGCACCAACCCTGCAGAGCAACCAAATGCATTCCTCAGAGCAGGCCAGAGGGATCTGAGGCACTGAGAGAAGACTGTGGCAACCAGAAGTCAGTGGGAAAAAGAAAACCCTACCCTGTATGGTAGGACAAGAGCAGGCAAGATGGAGGTAGGAACCTGGGTCTCCAGCAGAAATGGAGTCTGGAAACTATTTGGGAGTAATGCAAAGGAACTGCGAGATGAACATGGATTTAAGTAGAAGCTAACAGTGGCCAGCACATCAGTGAGGGAGCAGGGGTTCCCCCAAAGGCAAAAAGCTGGAATCAGCAAGGAAAATAATTAAAGTGCCATAGAAACCTTTGCGTGATACATGACTTAATACAAGATCAAGCACTTTTTTTTATCCTGATGAACTGCTCTGGGATGAAGTTGGCTCTTGCAGTGAAGGAAGCTCCCACATCCAGAACTCCATTTCCTCGGTTCTTGGCTAGAAGGTGTAGAATTAATGAAGCAGGGGACTGCCAGAAGAGAAGAGCTGGTCTCATGCTGAACACAACCAAAATGAATACTTTGGGGAAAACATGGGGATAGAATCAGTGTCTGACAGTAGGCACATTGCTTAAACCACTTTTTCCACAGGTGTTCACTAATGTGTGCTCAATGCTTTCCACATGCCTGTTTTGAGACCTTGTATGTGCAAGAAACATGAACTTCCATTAATCAGATTTATGCCAGAATGCACTGGCATTTATATGGCCTTTCTTACTTTACATCAAGGTCATTTGTTAAAAATAAATTACTAAAAACAAAGATCAGTCTCCCTGTTTTAAGGGATTTAGCCATAAAACCACTTTCTTTTCACGGTAGAGGCTTTTCTCCAACCTCATTCCTCCACTGAATAGAAAAAGTAGTAAGATTTTTAAAAAAAAGAACTTTTGGGGATTATTTCTTGAGTAGCAGTTTTTCAGCCCACTGTTCTTTCTTGTTAGTCATACTACAGTGCTCTTCTGAGTTCAGCTGGGAAGCAGAAAAACTGCCTTTGCATATTATCATCGCTGTGCTCTATTGCTTAGAGCAAAGAAATAAGATAACAGAACCTACTAAGCTGAAGCTCCTCAAGATCTCTTATGAGGAGAGATGCATGTTCTACCTATTCAGTTGCAGTGTCAGCATCAACCAGCATATCAGCTCATTGAGGCTTTATGAATTAGTGTCATCACCACAGAATATATACTTTTCTCAGCATTTGCTTCATGTAGAAGATTTTGGGTTATGAGATGCTTGAGAATTCATAGTAAAATTTCCAGATTCAAAGATACAGTATTCATTCTTCAATCTCACATACATAATTACAAAGAGGACAAAGACATTTTATTTCTTAAACTTTTAATTTAAAAATCAAAAGTTTGAGGTCCTCACTTCTGGACCGAATAGCCCATAATGGAGTAAGGTATTTCTTGGGTTGTTATTACGCAAGAGTTCATTAAAGGCATTCAGTAAACTATGTTCTTCCTACGTTTCCTCTGGCATTCAAGAAAGTAAAAAAAAAAAAAAAAAACCACACACACTCGATTTCCACATTCCTCAGAACTGCTGTAGCTCTTGGCTTTGCTGACTCACGCCTCTAGGGCTTGCCTTTCCCACATGCCACTGAGCCTGCCGAGGTACTGGTCCTCCAGGTACCTCACATCAATGTTTCTGCTTCAGATAAGGCTGCTCACTGACTGCTCCAGGGTGTTTCTAATCTCTTCCAGGGACCAAGCCCAGCCATTCTACTCAGCTCAGAATTGATGTTATCTATCAAACGGCTTCAAATAAAAACTTGCAAGTATATTTAATATATACTGCCAGTGTGCTGTTCAACTTGTCTAGCAGCTTGAACAGCAATTTTAGATATATTTTCTTATGAATCTTATCTCACGTTATTCTATTCCTGTCATTTTTAAAGCTTAATGCATCTGTCCTGCACTTTCTAACTGCTTAGTTATTTTTCATATGTAAAGGAGGCAAAGAAGCTCCAACCACACGTATGTTCATGCTGTATAGCTTTACGTGTTGTATATTCATCCATTTCCATCTTCCTATCTTCTTCCATAGGATACCAGATTTCTGTTAGACCTCTGATGGACCCAGTTCAGACAATCTGATCATTATCCTATTATCAATCTGCTCATCAGTCACATTATTAGACGCCTTGTTGCTTCAGCTCCAGAAGTTAAGACTTCACGTTTCTGGACGTGCATATCACCATCACAGCTCACAGACGTTACCTTAGTGCTGTTCTGCTAGAGCACGTTCAGACTGTACTCTGCTTCTGTGTGCTCTTCTCTCCCTATCTCCAAGCAAACAGTCCCCAGTTCTACCCTCTGCAGACTTGTGAGTTTGGGTGGGGACAGGCACTGAAGTGTCTCTTGCAACAATCCTAAACGAGGGGTGGAAAAACCTCACTGGTTTCAAATAGGTTTAACTCAACCCAAGACAATGCATGCTATAATTAAGTCATTAACGTAGAGTAAACAGTGTTTCTAGATTAAATGTGTAATCAAAGGTTTTTCAAGATAAACAATCGAGTATTGCCATAAGGGTCAGAATTTTCTTTTTCAATAGTTATTACTATTGCTTATCATATTTTCTACAAAAGCAAAGAAGGGAACAGAACAACAACAACAACTACTTCAAAAATACCTTTTTCACATATTCAGCTTCTTCGGTGATCTGGGCACAAGAGGATCCATAGAGGAGGTAATTTCCCTCGGAGCCTCGGTCCTCTCTCGTTATATGTTCAGTCAGCAGCAGGGTAGTTGTCACTATACGTGCGTTTCTCTGTTCTATACAAATGAGAGAAGAGCAAAGTTTGTTTTATTATGCAAGTATAGGGAATAATTCCATTATTCTATTTCACTTAATACCATTTCAGCTTCAAGGACATGCTGGAGCCAGGCAGGTATTTCAAGTTAAAAGGACGAATGAAAAAAAAAAAAAGCAAACATTAAGAATCACTTTCTTAAAAAATACAAACATTTAGTTTTTTTTTTTTTTAATAGATGGGAAAAGCGATGCATTCATACATTTCCGCTGAAGAATTCAATGGCTTTTTACTAGCCAACTACATCACAGTCCCATTATTATTTCAAACATCATAAGGCCAGAGCTGTGAGCAAGTACATGAATACTCCACATGTGCACGTAATTTAACTAAGAATAAAACAAGACTTTTGCCACCTATCTTAGAAGTTTATAAATCAATTACGCTCTCCACAGTAATTCCACTGCCTTCATTGCATTTATTACTCAGACCCAAACCTGGACTAAAGAAAAGGATCTGGCCTACTTGCTTCACACTACAGTTCAATTTCGGCAGTGGTTCATTCAGAAGCAATTGTCCCATTTGTCCTTTCATAGAGCACTATTCATTTTTTTTCTTTAGAAGAGTTCCTGTATGTAGGGCCATCTTCACAGTACAACCTTACTAACAGGTGTACCGAGTCCCCAATGACTATACCAGAGTAAGAGCACAGAACTAATTTTAATCACATTCAGTAGGATTACCTGCGTTGCTCATTACGTATAAACAGGACAAGGCTTGAATGATACCATAATTCTAATGAAAAACACACCTGGGGGGAAGAGATGGCAGACAAAAGATAAAGCTTTTTCTTTCTCTATCGTGCACTGAATATAAGGTCCCAATCACCTTCAGCTACATTTGTGTTGTACAATGGTGACATCCAGTGTCAGCTGGATTACTCTAAAGTGACTGTGTGTATCTCACAAGATACATGTTTCCAGTCCTATTCCAGGTGTAGTCAGTAAGCTTACAAGTGCACATTGGACAAGATGATTTTTAACAAGTACATCTGAAGGATCTGAAACTAATGAAAAATAGCACAGAGGAATAAAACAACCACTTGCACAGCATGGAGACAGTAGATGGGCTCACAACAGAAGAAATAAAAAGCGCTTGGATTTTAAAAAGCCTACAGATAATTGACAATGATATTTCATTTTAAAATGTATTTATTTAAAAACACTGAAGTTCAAAGACTTAGGGTTCCTGTAGTTTAACTCCGTAATAACAGTCCTCCTTGCACTGTACTGATACCGTAGGCCAAATCCTCTTGCTTTGTTTCAGTCATCCCGGCATAAAGTATTGCAGCACTAACAGGAAGCTCGCTCAGTCTAGCATGTTTCTTAATTAAATCATTTTCTAATTAAATATTTCAAGTTGCCTAGCTATATTTTTTGCTGTAATAGAGGAAGCCTCTCATTGCCACAAAGAGCTGCATGGTCCTGGTTTGTATAACTGCCCAGGTGAATCAGCAGCAGCTCATCCAGACCAGAGGCATTTTCAATTTCTTATGTTAACCATATACCCCAGGCAGACAACAGAAGGCTAAATTACAAATTAACTATAAATAATTATAAAGAAATTCACCACATGAGATTTAAGTGCCCCTGGGCTGTTACTTAGAACTCTAATTCTTAGGAGATTTACAAATTAAGAGAGCAATAAAGTAAAAGCTCTCACTACTCCCTTTTCAGTCTTCTCTGTTCATCTAAAAGTCAGGAGCACAAGAAGGTACCATAATCCTGGTACCTGGTCTGTTGTGGACATACGGGAGAGAGGAGGAAAGTGGCAGCCTCTTCCCTCACAGGGTCCTTGTACCAGCCCCTTGTCTGATACACCAAGGAAGTCCAAGATGTCCATGACAGCAGAGTCCTTGTGACCTCCCACAGCTTTAAGAGGCCCAGTACCAGATGGAAGCAGCAATAAACTAGTAACTTTGTAGGTTATAAAAAAAAAAAAAAAAAAACAAACAGGTCTGAAATTCCAGGCTGACCCTAGCAGGCCAGCAGCATGGACTGGAGCTACTGAAGCAAGCATTCAGCGAGTGTGCTGCAAAGTCTTTGCAATGACAGTTTGTAAGCAAAACAGGAACCCTGTGTAAAGCACTCTCCTGTAATCTAGCTTCCAGGTGGTTAAGGTATGACAAGAAGCTAAAAGGTCAACATCTAGCTGTAATAAAAACAGCCATGACTAAAAGGTAGTGAAACAGAACTAACTTTCTGATCATAACTTCTGCTTGAAGAGCAAAGCTGGCTATCCAGACACAACCTTGAAGGCTTTGACCACAAGCGAGAAAAAGTATACGTTTTTTTTTTTCTTGCATACAAAAATACACTCCAGACATTGCCCCTCATTTGTCGGCACAGTGGCTTATGCAGACAGGAAGATAAAATGGAAATTCTACATGCTTACAGTCATGGCATAGAAGAGTTTTTTCATAGATACAGAAGACCTTTCCCACCAAAGATACAAATAATTTAACAAAATTCTTTTTTTTTTTTTTTTTCTAAAAATTTTTTTTTTTTTTTTTTTTTTCCTTTAGGTACTTGATTTTCCTCCTCGCCCCTTCCCTTGCTGTCTAGTAGCGAATTTAAGCAGTTAAATCCCTAAAACAAAGGCAATTCAGCAACAATTATCCCTTCAGCCTGGGATAACTCAGACTGAAATCTCTACCTGTCCCCAGGGAAAAAGTCCAGGAATGGAATTGTTTTTATGGCTCTAAAGAAGTTGAGCCAAGAGAAGAGAGCAATAACAGGCAATAAACTCCAACTTGAGGTAAAGCCATTCAGCTGGGAGCCAAGAGTCCTTGGTATAGTCCTCGTTCTAGAGCGAGGGAGCAACCGAGCAAGAGCTTGCAGAACTGCAAGGTTGGACCTAAATATTCATTTTGGCACTTCTGTCCTTGCGGGGGGGGGGGGGGGGGGGGGGGGGGGGGGGGGGGGTTGAGGGGGTGTTGTCAGCACAACAGTCACACTAAAGCCAGAACACCGCCAGGTAACGCGAGAATTCAACACCACCCACCGTCTTTACTTCACAAGCCAGCTTTTAAAGAGATATTCGATAGGTTTCTTTAACGCATCTTTAGAGACAGAGTAGAGACGGAAGAATTACTTTGACTTCCTGCAGCACACAAATACTTTCTCTACCTTAGAAGCAAGGCTAAAAAGAAGTGCCAAATTCATCTACTATTCACAGACTTCCTTTGTTAGGAGGCACACTTTAAGGGGCTTAATGATCCCAGAAACACCCCTCTGCCACCCTACACAAGCACTCAGCTTTCTGTGACCTGTCAAGCAAGCTAGATTTTCTTCAGCAGACCCGAGGTTGTCAATGTTAGTGTGACAAACACAGGAATGTTATATTTTTATGAATATAAAAGCATATCTCTGTGCTTTTGCTTGCAACGGGGTTGCTTGCTTTATTATAAAGTTCACATAAAAGAGAATCAGAGGTACACCAAGCCGGAAAGCACCACCCTTGCTTACGTAAGGAACATCCCACTCTGCATTCACAATAACGTTATTTTGAGCAAGGTTCAATACATAACAACGTTTATATTATTAAATTGTTACTTGGAAAGAGGTGCAACTCCTAGGCCACAGCCTTAGCGATATCGTTTGTCAAGGCCAAAGAGAGAAGCAGATCAAAGGTGACGAGCACAGCTCGGCTCCCCTGAGAGAAACGGCTTGCAGATGCCGCACGGAGCTGGACCTCTTGCTGAGAAAGTCGGGAAGCAGCAAGGCTTCCACCGCTTCCAGGCTGTCACTTAAGGGCAATGCTCAAGAGAGTTAAAAGGGCTCAAAGGCTGTTCATCTGTAATCACGACAACTGCATATTTACTATAAGCATCTTTCCATGATAGATGTCCCCCCACACACAAAAAAAAAAAAAAAAATCACACTTTGGAAAAAATAGACTTCCATTCAAGCCCTACTCCAAAATAAGATCCTATGAAAACTCTGCTATAGAATTTAATTTTTCCTTCTGTCTACAGGATTCTCTTTCAAAGATCCCATTTGTGCGTCCATTATTCATGCATTATTCACTCAGCTATACCATACCCAGAGAGGTTTTCAATGCATACGTACTTGCACACATATACACAAAACCTAATAAAGCAGTCAAATATGCCATTGAAAGTGAAAGAGACAAAAACCCTGTTTTATTCAACAGCAGTTTGATTTCATAGTTCCCTTCAACTTTTAAAAACAGGTTATCTGCAAAAGCAGTTCCTCCCCTTTGTGAAGGCTGGATAACAGGACCAGCTAGGTTACCCAGGGCGTCATTCTGATTGACGCTAACCCATTTAACCGAAATTACTTGGACATCCGGAGAAAATAATCCCACGTTAGTCTCCAGTCGAGCACTGTAACTCGGGCATCAGGTTACTCCATTTTCTTCCTGTCTGCTGCACCTGATCACTACCGGGACAGTCAGGTAAACACAGGCTGCGCTTGCTCCACGGCTGAGCAGGACTTGGTACGACGCTCGCCCGCCTTTCTATCAGTCTGTTGCTCACACGCTTCCACACGAGAGCCGTCGTTTTGCTACCAGCGCTCTCACAAGACACACGCACAAGGTGATCATCTGCCCTCAGCCAAACGTACCCCCCCCACCCCCGCTTTGTTTTTAAATATACATTCTCCTCCTGCCAGGCAGTCGCGGCACAGGGAGAAGAGCAGATAAGCAGCGACGAAGAGCCGCAGCGCAGACTTAAAAGAGCGAGAAGTCAACGGGGGCAGCTCACAGGCAAACACGGCTGGGCCGGCCTGCCTCAGACACGGCCACGCCGTCGGCGGCTGCCGAGGCTTCACACAGACTCACTGAGCGCGTCCAGCATCGCCCACAGGAAAGGGGGGAAAAACGGAGGCGCTGAGAGGTCGCTCCAGGGGACTCGGAGCTGTCGGGGTGTTTTTTTTTCCCCCGAGGCTCGGTCTGGGTGGACGGGCCGAAAAGCCGCCTGCCGTCACCCGCAGCAAGAGGGACGCAGCGGCGACACGCTCCCCAAAGCGAACCGGCCCCCTGAAACCCACCTGCAACAGCTTGTGTGAGACGAACAGAGCCCCTACGACCAGCCAGTTGAGAAAAAGGAAAAACAAAACAAAAAAAATCTACAGATTGCAAAGTCTATAGACCCGAGCAGCCGGTTTGCCACCGCGTCTCCCGGGCGATTAGACAGGACACTCACCTCCGGCTGGGGAGGACATGCTGGGCGGTCGGGACGCCGAG